CATTGGTTGAGGAGGTTGTTTAATTGAGAACCTAAAAAATGCATTTGTACACATCTTTCACCTGAAGGATCATATACCCCAAGGAACATACAATAGTAAATGTTTTTTTTATAGTATATTATATGATATACCTATCATTTGATTTTTTTAGAAGAATATGTTAATAATACAAATTTAGTGGCCTTTTATGTACTTTGTTGTTCACAACACGTCCTAAGCTGGTGAGGCGGGCACGGCTCTGCGATGCCAAGAACTTTCAAATAGGAACGAAGTCAATCAGAGGTAGAGATTGGAGTTTTGTCAAATTATGGTCCAAGATAGAAATAGGCCTAAGGACGGCTCTCTTTTATGAACCATGGGCAGTTGCCGGCTTATGGGTCGGTAAGGCCAAATATTAGCAAACAGGAATAATTTTTAAAGTTCTAGAGCAAAACATTGTATTACGCCTACGTAAATAGGTGTTACGCAAACACGGTGGACCCCACAATTTTGCAGTTTCTCACCACTTGTCTTGTTATGTCCATTGGGACGTTTCAACGTGTGAATGATCCATTTTAGGTGTGTTTGGGTAGTGGTAATGGATTTAAATTACGAGTTTAAATGTCATAAAGGTGGGGTCAAACTAATGTTTAGTAGGGGTTATGGTGTTATTAGGGTTTGACCTATGATTAAAGGTATTAGCCCAAATTTAAGCTAGTTTATAAAGTTTTAGGTGAATTTAGGCCATTTAGGTAGGTTTAGGCTTGTTTTCGAAGGTTTCAATGGAACTTAGGTCTAAATTGGAAGGTTTAAAATTAGCTAATTGCTTATTTAGGAAGGTTCAAGAAGGTTTAGTGGACTAGGCTGGTTGAACTAATTTAGTTGAGTTTTACATGGGGGAGCTTATTAACCTCTAAGATGTATGGGATGGACCGTGGTGTATGAAAGTAATGGTCCTATGGTGTATAGAAATAGTATGGCCCCTAGCTAGTTTTAGGCCAATAGATAGGTTCTCGATAGGGCGAATTTCAGGGTTTTGGTTAGGGGCAGTCTAGGTAAGGTTTAGGCCTATACTCTAAGTTTTATAGGGTCCCGGAACTCGTTCAGCTAAGAACGGGGTGTCTACATATGCATTACGAAATAGATGGAATATATTTTCCTAACCAATCACCATCCAAATGTTAGAAATATTTAATGAATGACACATGTACCCAAACCTAAGTGATGTTTTATATATGGTTTTTGTTAGGGCACTCCTACACATGGAGTATATACTTAATATACTCAATATTTTGGTACACTTAAAGCAAGTTTTGTTTGGTCATGAGCAAGGGTAGAATAAATATTTCTATAAGAAACTGGTGATATTTTATTAGTGATTAAAAAGCAAATAATGCACCATGTGGGTGATGTCACACATCATGTTGGTGACATAGCTAGCAAGACTCCTTTAAAACATGATTTTTTCAAAACATCTTTGATTTTTTAAAATTCGTTAAGAACTCCGAGTTTTTCAAAAGATATTAAAAAAATCATGTGTTTTTAATAGAACTGATATAAACCTGTATTTTATCTTTTTAAAAAAAACTTCTTCTCTATAACTTTATTTTTTCATTAGCTTAATATTAATTAATTGTAACTAAAAGATAAGCACATAACAATGGGAGTAAATTTAAGGATCTTGATGTAGAGTAAAATTTCAACAAAAATTTCACCAATAATTTCCCTTAAAGAAAAAACAAGCGAAAAAATACAAGCAATGTATTCCTCAAAAAGTAAGATATCAAAACAATCATAAATCTCAAATTAATAGGCAGAGTTAGAAGAGAAACCCAATGAAAAATTTTTTTTTTTTTCAACCCAAAGCTAGGAATTTAGTGAGAATTTTTAATATGGTTGAGCTTTTTGTTGCTTTCTTTATGCATAAAGAAGCTTGATTCATTTCATTTTTTTTATTTTTTATTTTTTATTTCATTGGTGCATACAATGTAGCATTTTGGATGGATAACAATTTTACATATTTGGGTCTTTGTGTTTTGTTTTAGTTAATTACAATCCTATAATGAGGGTCTTTTTTGTCTTTTTTGCTTTGAACAATAATCCTATATGTTAGTTTACAGTTCTTGTTATTTACTAATATGGTTATTGTGTTAAGAATTATTGTTGTTGTTTCATTTTATGTGCCAAATAAATTTGCGATATGCTTTGTGTTGTGATAACAAAGTAAGCATTGTTGATGGATTTATTGAAAGTTTAGGCATTAAATTGTCAAGTGTTACTCTAACAACACTAGGTAAGGCTATAAAATTATTATTCAATGACTTTAATGTATCTACACAATAACTGCAAATCATAAATCCTATATTATGTCATCTTTACATATCCGATTTTTTCACTCCGATTTTTTAAGACGAATCTAAAATGTTCACGATTCCATAACATACCTTATTTTTTGGCGATCCATATTTTTTACCGGATTTTTTCCTCTGCCTCTTTGAAACAAAATTGGTTCATTACCGATATTTTGGTTTGTCGATTTATTATTATTCCCCGACTTGCTAACTATAATTGGTGATGTAATTGTCTTCTATAGTTAATAAATGTTTTTGTTTCTATTAAAAATTTTTACTGACTAATTATTTAAAATACCCATTGACATAAAGTCCCTACATTATAGGGTGAGGGTATCGAGTGTTTAAAAATATTGAGTATATGGTGAGGGTATCGAGTGTTTAAAAATATTGAGTATATTAAGTACCCTAACAAATCCATTTATTTATGTATATATATTAATTGCTAGCCCATTTTGTTTCGAACCATTTTTATCAATATTTCTATTGCGTCACTTGTATTTTGCTTATAAAAAGAAATTTGTTTTCCCTAATGAGTAGGGATATTTTATATATAGGACTGAGCACATTTGGTGGGCGAACTTGTCAAGCATGTTTCTATGAAGTTGATTTGTGACACACCACTACATGTTGCCGCTCACCCTGTCGGGCTCAATCTTCGGGTTGATGATGTGATAAGACACTTAGAAATTGATGCTAATGACGTTCGAATGATTGGGATCCATGGAATGGGCTTGCCAAGGAAGTGTTCGACAAAATATATTCCAAATTCCATGGCAGCTGTTTCCTCTCAGATATTAGAGAGTCTTCCAAAACAAATGGAGTTGTCAACTTACAGAGACAACTTCTTAAGGAACTTTTTGATGAAGTAGATCCAAGTATATTTAATGCTGATAGAGGCATCAATGTTATTAAGAATAAGATTGGGTCGAAGAAAGTTCTTGTTGTATTTGATGACATTGACGATGACAAACAACTTGAAAATTTGGTTGGTAACCGTGATTGGTATTGTCAAGGAAGTAGAATTATCGTCACTACCAGGGATGAGCACGTGTTGAATGTGCATAATAGGGTAGAGAGTAATCACATCTACAAGCTCGAGGCATTGGATCACATACAATCCCTTGAACTCTTTAGTTGGTGTGCGTTCCAAAGGAATCAACCGATACCAGAATTCGTGCAACTCTCTAAGGATGTAATATCCATTGCTTGTGGGCTTCCCCTGGCTCTTGAAGTTTTGGGATGTTACTTATGTGACAAGTTAAACATTGAAGAGTGGGAAGAGGCAATAATGAATTTGAAAAGAATTCCCGCAAATGATGTTATGCGAAAGCTTAGAATAAGTTACGATGATCTGAGTTGAGAAAAGAAACATCTATTTTTTGATATTGCATGTTTCTTTATTGGAGAAACAAGAGATTATACAATTAATATATGAAAAGGTTGTGGTTTCCCTGCTTCAATTTCTATAAAGAAGCTCTTGCAAAGGTCACTTATAAAGATTGATGATTGGGATGGGTTGCAGATGCACAACCGACTTCGTGATATGGGGAGACAGATTGTTGAATTAGAAAACCTAGATGATCATGGAAAGCGTAGTAGGTTGAGGAGATGTCATTACTATGTTGAAGAATTACAAGGTGAGAAATTCCTAAACAAGCTCATTTTTCTCTTGTCAGACAAATCCTTCAATAAGTTATTTGATTGGCAATGATTTTAAGTCTATTTGATCAACATGATAGAGTATGTACACTTGTTTTTTAACATCTTGTTGACAGGCTGACATTTACTTCTATTATCAATTAGGGAACACGTAAGGTTCAAGGCCTAATGATCAGGAGGAATAAACAGGAGAAGATTTGGGAAACTGAAGCATTTAAAGCAATGACCAAACTGAAGCTACTCAGCATCTGTCAAGCTTGTTTTAAAAAGGAAGCTTGAAAGATCTTTCATCATAGTTAGTGCGGTTACAACTAACGGAAGATCCGTGGCAGTATCTCCCAGAAAATTGTAGCTGTGAAAAGCTAGCTGTCCTCGGCTTGACAAACAGTAACACTGTGTCGAAGAACAACATCAAGCAGGTGTGGAACTTATATTTAATGTCATCTCATGCCAATTTATTTTTTTGTCCCTTGCATGTTTGAAACCTTTCTGGAAGTTATCCTTCCTAATCCGAACCAACCAAGTATTTTTTTGCACAGCTCTTCCCGAAGTTGAAGGTCCGTGATCTTACATGGTGCCTTAACTTAGAGAGAATTCCCCACTGTTCTCTATACATGAACTTGAAGCAGTTGATTCTTGAAGGTTGTGAAAACTTGGTTGAGATTCCCGACTCCATAGGGCTTTCAAGGGATTTAGTTTATCTGAATCTTGAGGATGTTCCAACCTCAAAAAACTTCCAGAAAACTTTGGAAAGCTTACAAGTTTTAAGGACTTTCAAGTTAAACAACAACTCCAATTTGACAAGGCTTCCATCTACTTTTCCGGTCTATGTTCCATGGAGGAATTGTTCGCAAGGGATTGTAACCTGCAAGGGGTGATTGCTGATGACTTTGAAAAGTTGTCCAAATTGAAAAAGTTGGATCTCTACGGCAACAAGAATATGCAAGGCCTGCCTAGGAGCATGAAGGGCCTTTCTCAATTAGAAGACATGGATATATGTCATTGTGAGCAGCTCGTAACTATACCCGAGCTCCCCAGTAGTTCGAAATGTCTACATGCTAGCGACTGCTATGAGGTGAGAACCATGTCGAAGTTATCTCATATTTCTCAACTAGAAACACTGTATTTATATTTCTGTAAGCCGATGATAGCTATTCCTGAGCTCCCCACCAGTTTAAAAAATTTCCTGCACCCATTTAATTAAACTATAGATGTACCTTTGAACCTTCCCACTCTGATGATATCCCTAGGACATGCAGTTTTGGAAACTGTATTGGCCAGTAAGCTCTTAGGAAACGTCTGAATAGCCGAGGTAGTAGTGCTGTGGTTTCAGACAGATTTAAGTTACCTCTGTTTCCAGCTGACCTGCCCTGGTGGCTTGGTTGTTTGAGTTTCAGGCCTGTGTCTGTTTGTCTGACTGACTGATGAGATTGTTGAGATTCATCTCAAGATATCATATATTTTCTTCAGAAATTTCTGTTGTATTAAAAGTCGAAACACTAGTTCAGAAAGAAGTGTGGCAGCCCATATACTTGGTACTCTACAAAGTGAAAGAAAGGCCTTTTCCCCCCGGTAAGGATTTTATACATCTCAAAATATACTGTGCAGCCTGGGGCCAAATCTCAAAAAGGTTCCAAACGTTTCCCTGGAGTGTTTTTCTGAGAGTGCTCCATCCTTCATGATTCCATCAACTTCCAAATTTGCCTTGTGCCACATATGTCGCCAAATGATTTAAGATTTCATATTGATAATGCCTAATGCATATGACTTTTAGGAACTGTTAGAAATTATTGATTATTTTTGTATTGCTATTAATATTTTCAGATCTTCAGTTCAAACATTATTTCTCTTAAATGATCTATCTCCATTTGTTTTCGGGCAGTTTGGTTATTTTTCCTTTGCTTCATTTATATTAAGTTCTGTGTTTTGTCTAAGTCTAATTATGGAGCTTCACCTTGACGGAATCTGTATTTCTGCTAATTAATTTCTTTGCTTCTGACTGTTGAATTCAAAATTGGCTTTTTTTTTTCCTCCGAGGGAATGGATTCTTAAGAGTGTGTTATTCTCATTGACCCATGATTTGCAGCTCAAAAGAGAGTGCATATCTGATGATTTGTGAAGAATTAGAATTAATATTGCAAAAGTTAAATTTACAATAGTCTATTTTTAAGGTTCAAAATCCATTTGTTTTTCAGATTCGTGCACCCTTCGAAATTTTTAGGTCCAAAATCCTTCTATAACGTTGTTTTTTGGAGGAGACCGTATTTGAATAAATGTGTTGGCTGATGCACCAAAATCCTATCCTTTTAGTTACTCTTACTTCTCATGTGTGTAAAACCATGGTTGTGAAACACCATCTAATTTTAGGAATCCAAATTTTTGAATCTCTGTTTAAAGTGACCTTCCATGATGTCATAGAGGCAGATCGGATGGTCTCCTTCAAGAAATTCCTCTGCATGAAGTCTATCTATTATAAGGGTATTTTCAGGCTTATTGCATTACCATTGGTTCTATGACCTGTACTAGCTGAAGCCGCAGGTTTCAAAAGTTGCTCTACCTTTTTAACAAGAGATTGCAATGTTATTAATAGTTAATATTAGTGTGGCTCTCCGAATCTCTCTCCCTCGATGTTACCAGATGCCTGGCAATCATTGCGCGGACTAACTCTTCGCTTGACATACTATAAATTATCCCCACTTTATGTATCACTCCTTTTTGATGAAAAGATATCAAAGTTTAGCTCTTTCAAAGTGGCACTAAATCTTATATTTGTGAATGCCTTTTTGCTTGCTCAACATTTATCCAACTTACAGTCGTTTTCCTTGAATATAAAACCTTCATGATTCACTGCTCATTTGTTTCTGGAGCCAAAGGTTCTCGTGATGAATGGTTTATAATGTTTTGCTTTCATAACCTCTCTTAGATGTTCATAACGTGCCAATTACTTTATCTCACTAGTTTCTGTATTTTTTTTTGTTGTGAATATACAGTAGTTCCAAGTCAAACATGAAAAGTACAAGATACAGTTATTACTCTAGATTATTTAGTAGTTGAGATGCACAACAATTGATCTTTCCAATTGGAAAATTGTCTTGAGCGTAAGTTTTCTAGTCTGTATTGGTTTTATGGCTCCAGTATTCTCATCTTTTGGTCTTTGATGGCTCTGTGATTTGCTTTGGACAGGAGCAATGCATACATGTTTAAATGCTGCCATCAAAGCTTGCATTTAGACCAACACAAGGGGAAACTTACTGTCAAGGAGGCTCCTAGAGCTGTGAGTTCCCTCATTACAATTGTGCATTCTATAAATGTGCATGTGTGTGCGTGCATGCACGTTCCAACTTCCACTATTGAGTTTTTGGGAAGTATTTGCCTTTTTTTTTTTTGGGGGGGGGTGGGGGGTTATTTTGTTCATTTATCTAAACTTTGAGAAAACACATAAATGCCTTGCATGTTAGCCTTCTAGTAGTTGGCCACCAAATTACCATGTCAAAACTATAACAGTATCATACAAAAATGTAATTTTAGGAATATTTTTGCAAAGCTACTGCTGAAATGGGCCTTTATGAGTGTAGGTGAGTGAGCCTGATGACAAGCTTCTTGCTGAGCACATGGCCAATCAAGGGCTGATAATGAAGAGGTCAGTGGTGATGAGGAAACTGAAGAAGAGGAAGATACGGGGATGGGCGAGCTTGATCTTGATAATGCTGGTGTGACCGAGTAAATTATAAGACAGAAATGAAAAAGAAAAAATTAGTTGATTTTGGTTGACATTATTGAGTTTACGTGTAAAGAACCGCCACAATTTGTGCTGCTCGCAAGTAAGGTTACATTTGTCATTTTCTTTGAAGCTTGCAGTTGCAGATTTTTCTGCCTTGTACAGAATTTGTGATCCTGAGATTTTGTTCAGAGCACTTCAGTTTTCATGTCATTTGCATATTCTACATGAATTACATATTAATTTTAGACTTCTCTCTAAATGAAAAAAAGAATTAGAGTGGTTTGGGGTGCCACATGGAGGAACTCCCCAACACTGACCGAGAGTGCTATTTTGCAAATGGAAAATTTACACTATCTATTATTTTTGGTACATGAAGATCACAAGCTCTCTTAGCTGTCCGATGCGACGTTGGCAGCTAGGTGTGTAACAAAGTTCAAGAGGGAATTTTTTAGACTTTGGGAGCATTAAGCAGCACTTTTCGCTCAATTTCGCATCTAATAGCTCACATTAATTGTGACCTATGTGAAATTTGTAGCTAAGGGTGCCACAAAGTTGAAGAAGATGGCATTGAGCAGCATTTCTTGCCTAATTTCGCACCTAATAGCTGATGTTAATTGTGACTGACATATAAAAATTTGGTGGCTAGGTATGCCACAAAGTTCAATAACTTTTTTTTGACTTAGGCACATTGAGCAGCACATCTCGTTGAATTGCGGATCGAATGGCTAACGACAATTATGACCTGCTTGTAGCAACTATACTCTTTTCCTTCACAAAAAGCAATGAATTTTTTTAGGTTTTATGTAAACAAAAGAATGTGTGATTAATTTGGCATGTCTCGCCCTTACCTTCTTGCCAATTTGTGCGCTCTCTCTCATGCATGCATAGGAGGAATCCTATGAGAGAGAACTTTTTATTGGCTTCATTATTCATTTGCACCAAAATGGTGCCTAATTCTGATCTCCTCCTGATAACCTTGATCCATCTATCAGGCATCTTTTGTGTCATTCGTTTGGTGGTTTCCTTCTTTTGATCGACTCTTTGCTCTTTGCATCATTCACATTCTTATGCATCATTTTTTGTGACATTTAGGGTATGCTCTCCTCCCATTCATGGTATCCAAGAACAAAAGAATTGCTTGAAATGGGTTTCTTAGTCTCTTAAAGAATTTCTTTTGCGTTTACTGGTAGAGGCTTGTTTGGTTGTTGGATTGTGGTGTGAATCATGGGTATCCATGCTTGAGTTATGGTGGAGAACAATGGTTACACCAGCAATTCAAAGGTTATATCAGAGGTTCCAAAGTATAGTGGAATGAATGGGAAATATTTGTATTCAACTTGTTTGTTTGGTATCTCCGGTCCAAAAAAGAACCTATATCCCTTAATAAATTATCTAAGAGCATGTTTGATGAGTTAAAGTTTTTGGAAGTGAGAGTTAAATGTCCTACTCTCATGTTTGATGTTACCGTGTGGAAGCTGTAAAGTGGAAGGGCGACCTTCCATGCAGCTTTTGTTTTTAGTATTAAAATGGGTTCATTTTTAGAAGACCTCTCTTCCATCAAAAAATAAGTCCCTTCCACTTCCAAAAACTCCATATGCCAAACACACCCTAAGATCTAAGAGAGAGTTCTTGTTGCATCACCTAAGACTTGTTGGCTCTTATGAGGTGAGGCAATACATGGCACTTTAAAAACCAAAATAAGTGGACCTTACGAGAATTTCTGTATCTATTTTCTCTCATTTTTTTATATATTTGGGAAATTTATCCAAATATTTATGAAGGATTAACTATTTAACATCTTATCCATATCTTTTTATTTAATTTCAAAGTACCCATAAAAATGCACATAGTTATAAATTGAAATTATTGCAATTTGATCAAATTTAAATAATTATTCTCATATGGGTACTCTGATAAATTTCCTTATAGCTTTTATCTTTGTGTCCCCTTTTCGAGGCACAAGTTTTGTATATTTTTATAATGGATAGCGAGTTTTTTTTATTTGTGTGTGTATGTTAGAGTGAATGGATATGAATTTGCTATACTAGGGATTTACTGGGAAAGCCTTTTACCTTGGCACTGCCCCATATAAAGCACAAGCTGCTGCTATTCTTAGCTGTTTGATCTGAATCGACAGCTGTATAAAGCTCAAGTTACTCATTAGCTGCCGTTCAATTTAAATCGATAGTTGGGATTGCTTTACATTCTCTTTAAACTCGTTTTTTTTTTCTTTTTTCTTTTTATTTCCTTCTTTATCTTCATCCTTGGGCAATTGTCTTGTTTTTTTCTCTCTCTTCACTAGTCGATCACAACTCCGCAACTCTCTTTGTGAGTTAGATGACTTTTTAAGTAATAATATTTCATGCAAATACAAGTAGATTTCTTTCTCTGACGTGGTCATTGCAAGTTGGCTGATTCACCTATTGTTGTGTGTCCCCTTAAACATCAAAGTTCTTCTCTAACATAGACGTTGTTATATAGTGTTGCGTTTATGTGGCTTTTAAAGGCCTTATAAGTTCTTTTAAAATGAAATGATATAGTGGAACATGAATTCAGTGGGAGTGTGGTCCCTCGTAGACCATACTAAGCAAACAGTGTTTGCTGATACCGGACTGTGCTTGACGATTTAAGCCAATCGGTTGGGAAACACCCATGTTACCTTGGCATAAAGAACAAACTGATAAGGGTTCTAATAGGTTAGCCCTTGATGAGGTCGGAGAAAATGTCTAGATGAGTGAGCCGAGGGACTGCATAACCCTTGTGTGTGATGGTGGTCTTCAAAGATGGGAGCAAAGCCTCATCCATGTGCCATCACACGGCGTGCATATCGACAGATCGTTCGGGAAAGCCAGAAATCCACCTTTTAGGGTGAAGCGTATGCATGTGCGAGAGATACCCCTATGCACCATAGGAGCTATGGTCGCATCAGGTCTTGGTGACCTTGACTCATCACTAAGGGAGGACTTGAAATCTACAGACTGGGATTGCGACCCTTTGGCTCATCGGTCGGACTTTAGTGACCTGCTAATGAGCCTCTGCTTGGACTGTGGGTCATAAAAAACACTGGATCGATCTGATAAAGCAAGTGTGGTCAGTAGTCCACAGTTGAAAGTGGAGTGCTCCATGATTGTTGATTCCTAAATCATATGAATATTTTTCCCATCAAATTAATTTAATTGCATTTATTTTATGATGAAAATTATTTTAGAATTATTATTTGAATTTTTATGAACCCCTGGATATTTTATTTATAATTTTTGAATTTATAAAATTAAATATATTGATTTTACAACGGTTTAAATATTTAAATAATATTCTAAAATCATTTTAATAATTTTAAATATATAAAAATATCATAGGGGCTCATTGTGTATATGGGTCCACCATATTTTTATAAGGTGGGGCCTATGAGTGCCTCCCTTGGGTGGCATGCCCCACCCTAATTCTCTTTCCTATTTTTTGGTGATATGGCATGTGGCATATGGTTGGCAGATATTGACTAAACATTGACTTGATATATCTTTGAAAGATTTTTGTGGAAAAATTGAGTAGACTTGTGCTATTTTATGATATGCACAATATTTTAATTAGATTTAATTTATTTAATTTTTATTTATGGGAAACTAGTTTAAGAAAGGGGGATAATTGTTTATGCACCTTCCATAATGTTGATGGCCCATCTATGAAATGGATGGCTGAAATCTCTCACCTCACAAGTCACCTAAGATCAATGGTTTATATTCAATCTCACAAGAAGAAACAAGCGGAGGAAAATCTTAAGAAACCTTAATCTTATTCAAAGCCTATAAAAAGATATTGTCTTTATCCAAAAATCTCTACACCTTATCTCTTGTACGTAATTCTATTTCTCTCATATCCCACAAAAGGGCACACCCTGCTTAGAATTTATCTCTCTCTCTTAAGAAAAGCTTCTTTATCTTATCTCTCAACTATGGATTTATGGCTAAGGGTTTTAGGGTTTAGCAAAATGATAATTCATCTCTGTCAAACTAAGTTGCTAAGAGAATTCACCAAGGGTTTGAGTTTGTAATCAAAAGGGGTTCATGTTCTATTAGTGTGGCTTGGCTTCAACTTGCTTTCTCGATTGAGATTAAAGGTTAATCATTAATCCCCCACTATCGGATGGTGGTGACTCGGTGTGGGGTGTAATAAACTCGGTTGAGGTAATCTCCAGAATTCTTCCTTTTGTTTCTTGTAATCTTATATGTTATTCTCAAGCATAGTGCATAGTTGTTTCAATGGCATCAAGTTGTTAAGATCTTGGTTTTATTGTTATGTTTATTTTATTTTGAAATTTATATTATTGTAATAAAGGCCACCTGTAAGCTATCTTTTTCCAAAAAAAGGGGGTGAAAAAAAAAAAAAAATGTATTCCCTGGTAAAAGATCACATAGGTCTTTCTTGCATTGGTATCAGAGCTATTCATACTTGATGTCATTAATTGTCTTTTCTATTTATTAAGTTTAGATCAAGCTTGGGAATGAGATATAAGAGAGCTAATGACCTTTGTGGTCAAGAAACACACTCACGGTAAAGAATTATTGAAATACTCTAACACCGAAAATGCACTCTGCATAATGAGTAATCTGGGCTATTTTGGAGTACTGATATGAATAAGATAATGAGCTATTTTTGTATTACATATTTCAATGATATTTTGTGTCTTTAAGAGTAGGATCTACCTGAAAATTTCACTAGGAGATCCTAAGGGAATTTAGAGTTATGGAATAATCAATGAAGGGTGTCAGTTCTAACCCTGCAAAATCCAGGAACTGTCCATTGAGTTTCATGATTTTTCCTACCAACCATATTATTTTATTTCTTGTTGAAATTTTATAGTGACTCACAAAATTGAGTCTACTTTCAAGCAAAAAGAGTTTCATCAAAAAATTTCTTGTGGTTTAAAAGATAAGATCAATTTATTAAAGGGTGCGCAAATGTTTATTTTCTGCAATGAAAACTATTTCCATGACTTAGAAGTCATGATTTTATTTCCATACTTAACATAATGTTTTATGGTCCACGCTAAATTTTTAGACTTCCATTCTGAGTTTATTTTCTAATAAAATTTATTTGAACGATAAATATCTACGGAAGAGAGGAATAAAAATTTTGGATTGAAGAGAGGTCATCCTAAATTTTTTGCAATTTGGTATGTTCTTCATTG